TGGGAGCCATATACGAAGACGTTTTAGCCGTATTCTAGCGTAAGTGGCACACACTTCCCAACCGTGTTGAAATGTGGGGTTCTTTGTGTGTTTGTTGTTCATATTGCATTGCAATTCTCTCTCGCTCGCTCTCCTTCTCTTTCCCTCTCTGTCTGTCTGTCTCTCTGTCTCTCTCTCTGTCTGTCTGTCTCTCTCTCTCTCTCTCTCTCTCTCTCTCTCTCTCTCTCTCTCTCTCTCTCTCCGTTGATTAAGCCACGCGCGGACAGTGCAGTGGTTCTGGTGCCGCCGCCTTTCCCTCATTCACAAAGGTCTGATGCAAAATAAACGGCCGCGAGAGTCAGCCCCCACCTCTCCCGCATTCACAAAAGATCGCATACGACATGAGCATTCTCCGCCACAGACGCCAAAGAAAACGTTATGCGTTCAAGGGAGTGAAGGACAACCTCGGAAGAACATCACGCATACGAAGAGGAGGAGAACCATTGAGAAAGAATGGGAAGAGAAGGAGACAATCGATCTGAGGGATCCGAAGGTGGCGGGGCTGCTGAGGGCGAAAAACGAGATGTGTCACGGGATGCAGCAGGTAATGAGCTGAGGACCGACACTGAAGAATATGATGAGACAGAGGATGGTGAAGGAGGTAACACGGGCACATTCAACGAAGGACAATCGTATAGAGAAGATGAGAGCAACGAAGAAGAGGAGAGTGACAATGGGTATAACAACGCACAGGATGGCGATGACGAGGATGATGATGATGAAGAGCCATCCCAAAGCAGTAGCAGGGAAGAAAGGCGTAGCGAGGACAATAGAAAAAAGACATATCGAAAAACGAGGGGAGGAACAAGTGATGAAGGCAGAGAGGAAAGTAACGCCGACAAACAGTTAGTTCCGAAGGAGAAGACAATTGAAGGACGTAAGTAAACAATGTATGAGAAAAATCAAAACCTCAGACGGAAATGATCAGTTGACATGATGTTGTTTTGCTTGAACTGTTGTCATCACCTGCCGGTAGTGCAAAATGGTAGCGAACTATAAACGTTTTTCGATAAGGAAATATGAGATAACCTTCAATATGTATGTACGGTTGTGGTTGTTTCTCATGCCAAACGAATGTATGTGAGTGGCGGATACCAACTTTCAACTTCTGGTTGATATACAGGTTGTTGTAGGCCGCCAGATTGTACAAGGAGGGAGACATTGTCAAAAGGAGGCGAAAGAGGTTAAGCATTGGACGGGTGGCATGCGAGACGAATGCAACTTATTCGGAAAAAGGCAAAAAAACAGACTGTTGAGGTCCGTTGCAAAAACTTTTGTGCACTCGACAGCGAGGGACGCAACATTCTACCCTTCAGAGGACGACTTCTTCAATGCGTTGCAGTTGGCTGCTAACCTTTTAGGAGAAGATGTGAGGGTAGGATTAGGGAAGTATGTACAAGACAATGGTATGCGGTGTGTGCTTATAGAGTGCAACCGAATGATGACAACGGTCCGTGGAGAGCTGACTTGACACTTGAGACACTGGTTCTGGGCAGAGAGAGGTCTTCCGCTCGTACGCGGCACGCAGTCGAATCACAATAACACCGCGCAAGAAGAACTTCGTAGCCAAATGAATAAAGACACGACATGGAGAAGGAAGGACGACGAGTCATGGGGAACAGGACATTTCAAGAGGACACTCACAAAAGTGTTTCAAATAAGAAGGGACGATGGAAAGCTTGGCGTGACCTTGCAGCAACTAGCGTTCACCGAACTCGTGATTTGCACATAAATAAAATAGACAAAGAAGTCAAGCAAGACGTCGGATCAGTTGCTGAAAATGACCGCTATAAAGAACGACATAGTCAATACAGTCCGGAACCGAGACACAGTTATGAGTTTCTGCATTTTCAGGCTCGACCTCGACACACGTGTGACAGATGTGGCAAAATAGTACTACAATGCAGGGAACACAAAGAGAGAGATAAGTGCAGTCGACGACAAGGGCAACACAGTACATGACTTCGAATTCGAAGTCTTAGCCCCGCAGACACAACCGCAAGCTTTATGCGCAGGATCTTGAAAATCTTTCCTCGAGTGACACTTTTGTTATTCTGACGGATGGGACATGACTTCAGATGTGGTGGGATTGTGCCTGCAACTCGTATCACAACGACACGTCCATTTCGAGAGAGAGAGAAAGGGTGAGATAGAGAGATAGAGAGAGAGAGAGAGAGTTTTGAAGTGTGGAGACAAAGGATTTAGCACGGGTCTCGTGCGAAGAAACCGAGTTACTGTGGCTGGGGTAGGCAGAGTTACGTGGTGGGTGCCATTTCTTATGACAGCGGTGCCTTAATGTCATTATGTGGCCCTCTCTACAGAACCATGTGACTGGAAGTGGCCTCCAGTTGGAAACGGAAAACAAAACGAGAAACTGAGTTACTGTGGCTGGGGTAGGCAGAGTTACGTGGTGGGTGCCATTTCTTATGACAGCGGTGCCTTAATGTCATTATGTGGCCC